CCCTGCCAGCCTGGTCACCCCTAACTGCCCTCCTTCCCCTGCCAGCCTGATCACCCACAACTGCCCTCCCTTGCCGGCCATCTTGTGCCCACATGGGGGCGGCCATCTTGTGTGAGGGCATGATGGTCAATTTGCATATTATCTCTTTATTATATAGGATTAGAGGCCTGGTGCACAAAATTCATGCACTGGGGTGGGATCCCTCAGCCCGGCCTGCACCCTCCCCCAGTCTGGGAGCCCTTGGGGGATGTCTGACTGATGGCTTAGGCCCGTTCCCTAGGGGGAGTGGGCCTAAGCTAGCAATCAGACATCCTTAGCACTGCTGCAGAGGCAGGAGAGGCTCCAGCCACCGCCCCTGTGCTCGCCAGTCGTGAGCCCTGCTTCTGGCTGAGCGGCGCTTCCCCTGTGGGAGTGCACTGACCACCCTTGTGGGAGCGCTCCTGTGTTGAGCATCTACCCCCCCTCCCCCGCCCCCGGTGGTTAGTGCACATCATAGCGACCAATCATTCCGCCATTCGGTCGATTTGCATATTAGCCTTTTATTATATAGGATTTGAGCAGCACCGAGAGGTTAACTCAGAGAATAGGGTGTCATTTCTGCCTGGGCATCTGGTATATTCTAATACCACTATCTTTGGCTAGAGAACTCCTTTCTTCTCTACTCTGACACAGAAAGAGGAATAGCAGTGGTGTATCCTCAAGGACCAATGGGACAGTGAACTCCCATGTCTGAGATATAGAAGGTGCTTCCTTACTGTAGCTATTCTGATTAGCCAAGAACATGATGTCACAGCAGCCTTTGCTGAGGTGGGATGAGATATTCTGTCTGGGAAAGATTGGCTCCAAAAAAAAAAAGAAAGAAAGAAAGAAAAAAACAAAGAGGCAGCTCTAAAGCTGAAAGGGAACAAGGTGAAAACTGCTTCCAAATTTCCATCTCAGCTTTTCCAGTGCCCTCCCCTGACCTCTGAGTGTCCCTCAATAGTTGCAGTTTTCAGAATGAAGGTCTGAATCAATAGCATAGGTAAACAGTACAGCCATTAAACCCATGTTACCCAACTGGGGAGCTGGTGGCACAGAAAACGCATGGGAGCAGGGGTCAGAGGTTAGGACTGCAGGGCAGTATGGTGCTCACCCAGCAGGGGTGGGGGCAGTTTATTTCACCCTGCTGGGGGCTGGCTTTCCTGGGTGTAATGAAGGCTAATGAAGCTTGATTAGTAGAGTGGTTATGAAAAAGAGATAATAATGGTAGTAGTAATAAGAACATGTTGAAAAGTTTTAGCTGGTATTACTGTTATCAGTAACATGTACTTACTGTGTACTACTAGGAGTATTTTATCATCTTACCTAATAAGAGCCGTGTAGGGGAGTGAGCGGACCTCCTGGGTTGGAATCCTGGCTCTGTCATTGTCTAGCTAAGTCATTTGGGGCAGGTCATTTAACCTCTCTGTGACTCAGTTAACCCCTGTACACAATAGAAGTGATGGCAACAGCTTTTATGCCATAGGCTTGTTAATTCAGTCACTGAGGGCTGAAAGAGTTAGGAGGAAGCCTCAGTAAAGCTCAGGACAGTGTCTGGCCCAGAGGGACATGCAACACATGTTTGCTCTCATTTCCTTACTTAAAAACACAAAGGCTTCCTGCCACCCCATGGCAGTATTCCCACCTTCTTCTTTGCTACCATACTTTTGTTCAGGTAGCAATAAACCCGAGCCTGGGAAAACCACGACTGGGGGCCGAGCCAAACAGCAATCCCACTCCCCAGGGCCATATACCAGCTTTCCATCCCTTGGAGCTTGGGGTGGCTATGTGGCCCAGGTCTGCCCAGTAAGTTACCAGAAGTCCGCTTGAGGGGCTTCTCAGAGTAAGTTTCCTCCTTGATAAGAGGAGGCTGTTAAGGTGAGCCATTGGCCCCCTTCCCTCGCCACCTCCCCCTGAAAGTGGGGGTGTGAGGCCATCTGCACATTTGGTTTCCATGACAGTCAAGGTAGAAGGTGAAAATCGACAGCTGAGGCTGGTGTGGGGGTGACAATAAAAGGCTCTCGGTTCTCCAAGACGTGACTGAACACAGACTTCCAACCTTTAAACTTTTTACCAAGTTAATGATCGCTGTCATGGTCTAGGCGAGTGGTCGCCAAACTTCGGCTCGCGAGCCACACGCGGCTCTTTGGCCCCTTGAGTGTGGCTCTTCCTAAGCCTTAGGAGTACCCTAATTAAGTTAATAACAATGTACCTACCTATATAGTTTAAGTTTAAAAAATTTGGCTCTCCATAGAAATTTCAATCGTTGTACTGTTGATATTTGGCTCTGTTGACTAATGAGTTTGCCGACCACTGGTCTAGGCTGCTCTTGATTAGGTTTTCTGTTACCTGCAACTGTGTACGCAAGGAGAGCCTGGCTGGGGGGCCTGGCCCTGCTCACCAGCTCCCCTCAGCTGCCAGGCCCAGGAGTGGGGAAGCCCAGCTCCGTCCTCTCTCCCTCGAGGACGCTGGCCAGTCAGGACTGTGCAGCCAATTACAGCAGTGAGCCTGGGAGAAAATAAGAAAGCTGGGCCTGGCCCTCCCGTAAG